CCTGCCCCTCCGTCTCATCCAGCCCCACCCTCCTCCTCCTGCCTCTCCTGATACTCCTCCTCCTCCTCCTCCTCCTCCTCCTCCTCCTCCTCCTCCTCTGTCATCATGTTCCTTATTGGTAGCCTCTCCCTCCCGGACGTGCCCATTGAGCGGGCCAGGCGCTTCGACTGAGACTTACGCACCGCCGATGCCCCTGAAGCTTGACACGTGTCACACTTTCAAGGATTGAGAGCGGGTGGGACACGTGGCTCTCGCCTTAGTGCCGAGCACATTCGTCTGAACAACTTGCATCAAATTCAACGCGAAGGGCGGGCCCTTTTCAAAATGTGGCTCTCGCATCAGCGCCGTGCACTTTCGCCTTAAAGGTTGGCAGCAGTTTCAAGGATGGAGGGCGGGTCCTTTCCAATCTGTTAATATCGCCTTAGCGCCGCGCGCATTCGTCTGAAATTTCAACATGTTTCACGGGTTCGTGAGGGCTAAGACAGGAATGGTGCTCTGGTACGGCTAACAATCACCTTGATTCGCGGTGCGGAAGTCCCAAGAACAATGACGGTGCTCTGGCACCATTTAGGACTGCAGAGACGCAACGTCACATTGAAAATTGTTTCGCGGCGTTGAGTTCCCGGAAATTGTTTCGGCACGACCGAGGTTTCTCAGACGGTTGCCCTTCAATGGGACACTTCACGAAATGAAAATAGCACCTTGTAGGGACCTATGCCTATGGTGCGTCTTGGGTTTGCATTGGTCCTCCTCCTCCTCCTCATCCTCCTCCTCCTGGCGACGAAGTGACGAGCTGAAGGCATGAAGGTTCGTCGAACGCTGTCTCCCCTCCTCCCCCTCATCCTCCTCCTCCCAAGTCCGCCCCTACCAGTCTCGTCGGCTCCCATGAGACCTCCAGCCAGGCCCCCCCCCGTTCCCCCTCCTGCCCCTGCCCGAGCCCCCTCCCCCTGGCGCCGATCTCCTTTCGGGCGCCGCCGTGAGACTCTTCGGCGCCGGCGAGGCCGTCGGCAACGCCGTGTCGCCCGAGTCCCCGCCGGCCTCTGAGAGACAGAGCCTCGGCGCCGTCGCCTCCGTCCCTCACTCCCTCCCTCCTCCTAGGCTTCTCCTCCGCGTACTCCTCCTCCCTCCAAGCTTTTCAGGACTCGTCATGCCTCATTCTTCTCCTTCCTCCTTCGCCTCCCACCTGCCCCTCATCCAGTCCCCTCTTCCGCCGCTCCTCTGCCTCCTCCCCCTCCTCCTCCCTCCTCCTCCTACCTGTCCTCCTTCTCCTCCTCATCTCCTCTCCTCTCCTCCTCCTCCTTTTCCTCCTCCGTTCCCCCTCCTCCTTCCCTCCCCTCCTCCTCCTCCTCCTCCTCCTCCTCCCTTCTTTCCCTCCTCCTCCTCCTCCACCTCCTCCTCTCCCTCCTCCTCCCCCTCCTCCTCCTCCTTCTCCTCCTCCTCCATCCTCAGTCGCGGAAGGCAGGCAGGCCCAGGGTGAGTCCCCGCGCAGTGAAGCGCCACGCGTGCAATCCTTTCGGGCCAGCCCCTGTGGCTTGTGGCTCTCGTGGGCCTACGGTTCGGCACTGTGGCGGCACCTCGTGCTGAACTCCACGGGGCACGATGCCCGGGAGGGGTGTGCGGGCATGGGTGGTGGGACCGCGTGAGAGGACGCCCCCCTGGGGTCGTAGGTGCAGCTCCACACGGTCCGCGTGAGGGGTGTGCAGAAATGGACAGAGCCCTGCATGGGGCCGCGAGGTGGAGAAGAGCTCCCTGTGGGGCACGATCCGCGTGAGGGGTGTGCCAAATTCTCGCCATCGCTCGGACGTCCATCCCCCGTACATGTTTCGTTTTTTTTTTTTTGGTGGGGGGGGGGGGTCATATTAGTCGTACTATTCGTATTATTATTATTATTACTATTATTATTATTAGTAATGTTATTGTTGTTATTATTACGATGACTATTCGTATCATTATCATTATCATTATTGATACTATTCTTATAAATATAACTCTACGGATGTGTATATATATATATAGACAAAACAAACGCACACGTCCGAGCGATGCCAGGGTGAGGGATGTGCCAGATTGGGCGGTGGGCCCGAGTGCGGGCGCCCCCCGTGGACTCTCCCACGGGGGCCGCAAGTGGAGCTCCCCGTGGGGACACGAGACGAGTAAGGCGTGCGCCGGAATGGTCGCCCCGCGCATGCGAAAACTCTTGCTGAGGCCATCCGTGGAGGGCAGCCCATACAGTCGGAGCCCTGAAGAAGGAACCCTTTTCGTTGGGGAGGGGCGTTCCTGAAGTGTTTCACAGCTTGCCTCAGGTTTTCTTTATGCTTCCGATAGGAAATCGAAGTTTAACTTATTGAAAAAAAGGGGCTTCATTCCTTATTCAGGGTTCCTAAGGTCAACGCTCCGACTGTAGGGGTCAGAGGTCCACGCGTGGGGTATGCTGAATGGGCGTGGACCCGAATGCCGTGGACCCGAATGCGAACACCATCGCTGGTGCCGCAGGTTCAGTTGAGTCGGCCGCACATACAAGAGAGGAGGGGGAGGAGGAGGAGGAGGAGGAGGAGGAGGAGGAGGAGGAGGAGGAGGAGGACGACGACGACGACGAGGACGACGACGAGTGAGAATGTTGAGGAAAACACCTACCGCGATCAGACAGGCGCCTGCAAGAGGCAGACCACACAAGGCGGCAACACCCAAGACGAGCACGGGTGCCAACGCGAGCCGCTGGATCGAACGAACTGAAACGCAATGTCTAAGGGAGAAAAGGGATATCTGAGCAATGCAACAACGCCCCTACACTGAATTACAAGTGCGTGGTCCGAAAATCTCCCGGGAGCTCCCAGAGGCCAGAGGGCCGTCAGGACGCCGCGCGACACGCGCGATATGCAGGGTTTACCCTGTCAGCCCTCATGAGGTTCAGCGCACAACGCCTCGTAAACAAGGTAGGGGCGTTTTTACTCCAATTCCTTATTCATCGTCCCCTGGGTCCGGTTTTTTAAGGCGCCTTTTTTGTAACTGGGGGGTCCAGTTTATTAGGGCGCTTTCCTTCGATTGGACCGTAAAGGGTCCCGTTTATTTAGGCGCCGCCGAAGAAGAAGGTCCGGAACATCAGGTCGCATTTGGAGGGGGGTCCGGTTTTTTAGGGTGGGGTCGATGAGTAAGGAGTTTGGGGTAACGCCCTTGAGATATAGCAAGCGTGCCACCGCGAGGAAGCCTCTCCACAGGGGAGGGGAGGGACCCGTTCCTGGCCACGACGAGCCCCGGCCGCGAAGAGATTTTTCCCGGCCCGGGTCCGAGCAGCGGCCCGACCACCAGTTCCCATGACGAACCTTCTCCTGAACCTCAACCGGCCCTTCGAGGACGAGGAGAGGAGGTGAGGAGAGGAAGGAGGAGGAGGACGAGGAGGAGGTGGAGGAATAAGAGGACGAGCGGGAGGAGAGAGGAGAAAGTATGTTGGTGCCGTGTTTGCGGTGGCTGTGGGCAGAGCAAGAATTGCGGTACACGGGCTTGCCCGTCCTCGACCCGCACGCCGGCTTGCCGTGCCTCTTCCAGGACGGTCTGGCGTCCCGCCTTCCGCGACTTGTTCGAGCCTGGGCCGCGGCCTGCTGACGTAGTCCTTCACGGTCTGAGTTTGCTCCCCACCCCCACCCGCTCCTCCCCTCCGCGCCTCTCCACAGCAGAGCGGTCGAAACCCGGGAAACCCGGGGCACCCTGCAGGCGAGCAGGGTGCTCCTTGGCATGGGCTCCCGCTGTAGAGGAGGCGGAGAAGTGCGGGAGGCCCGCCGCCTGTGTGCCCCCCACGGCTCGCCGAAGAACCAAGGGCTCGCAGCTTCGCGCTGCGCGCTGCGCGAAGTGCGAAAAACTTCGCGCTCTCGCGCCGCCTCCCAAAGGAGCAGAGGAGGAAGAGGAGGAATCGGAGCCGAACCGCGAAGCGCGAAAAACTTCGCGCCCCCGAGGGCGCCCTCGAAGAACGGAGGGCCCGCCGAGAGGGCGGCCTCGAGAGCGGTCCTGCCCGTGGCCGAGGCGCTCTCCGCGGGGCGGGGCGACCTCGCCGGACGGCGGCCGGGAGCGGGCAGCCGCCGGGCAGCGCCGGCTCGGGAGCCTCCAGGAGCTGGCGGACCGGGAAGGGACGTGCCGGGCGCCGCGGCCAGAGCTCTCAGGGCGCCCCGGACTGCTCCGAGAGCGTTCCGAACGGGGGATGGTGAGGAGGAGGAGGAGGAGGAGAAGGAGGAGGAGGAGGAGGAGGGGCAGGAGAAGGAAGATGATGGAGGAGGAAGAGCGTAGGAGGGAGGAGGAGAGAGGAGAAGGAGGAGGAGGAGGCGGAGGAGGGAGGAGGAGAGGAGGAGGAGGAGGAGGAGGAGGAGGAGGAGGAGGAGGAGGAGGAGGAGGAGGAGGAGGAGGGGGAGGAGGGGGAGGAGGAGGAGGAGGAGGAGGAGGAGGAGGAGGAGGAGGAGGAGGAGGAGGAGGAGGAGGGAGGAGGAGGAGGAGGAGGGGGAGGAGGGGGAGGAGGAGGAGGAGGAGGAGGAGGAGGAGGAGGAGGAGGAGATGGGGAGGAGGAGGGGGTGGAGGGAGGGGGTGGAGGAGGAGGAGGCGATGAGCAGAAAAGGGAGGAGGATGAGGACGATGAGGGGCAGGTAGGAGGATACGAGAAAAGGAGGGAGGGTGCAGGAAGCAGAAAGGGATGGAGGTGGAGCCGACGACCTAGAGTGACTCTTCTCTTTCCTATGCCTGCCTGATCTCGGACAACTGCGGGCGCGGCCGCTGGATGTACGCCCCGGCAACCACGGATGCTCCGAAGGTGGTGCCGCCTGGGCCCAGAAAGGTGCTGCTGGTTGCCGTTCCTCTGTTGAGCACCGTCGTCGTCTTCGTCGCTCTCGTCGTCGTCGCCGCCGCCGGCGCCGATTGCCGGCGTCGCCGTTCTCGTCGTCGTCGGGGACGGGGGGCGACGAGGAGGAAGGAGGAGGGCGTTCTCGTCTTCGTCGGGGCAAGCAGGGCGAAGAGGAGGAAGCAGTGGGGGGGTTGTCGTCGTCGGGGCAGGGAGGGCGAAGAGGAGGAAGTAGTGGGGGCGTCCTCGTCGTCGTCGGGGCAGGGAGGGCGAAGAGGGGGAAGTAGAAGGGGCGTCCTCGTCGTCGTCGGGGCGGGGAGGGCGACGAGGGGGAGGAGGCGTGCGAGGGAGGCGTGCGAGGAGGAGGAGGCGTGCGAGGAGGAGGAGGAGGAGGAGGAGGAGGATGAGGAGGAGGAGGGCGACGAGGGGGAGGGAGGCGTGCGAGGGAGGAGGCCGCTGCGCGCCACGAGAGGCGACCAGGCGGGGAGGCTCCAGCGCAGCGGGGCAAGGCTGCAGCCAGCTCTCACTCATAGTAATTACTCCTTGCTCTGTTGGAAGCCTGGAAGTGAGCACCAGCATCAACACAAAGGGTTGCCTCCACAGGGGGAAGATGATCCTAAATCTCGGTGTTGGTGGTGATATGTCGCTCGCCTTGGCAGCCGGAATATTGCCACCATCACCGAGATCGGGATCTTCTTCCCTCGGTGGAGGCACACCGCCGATATTGGTGTTGGTGTCAACCTCTGGGCCTGCGACTCTGTGCTTTATTGCATTGGTCCCACATGATGATCGAAATTATGGTGTCGGGATGTTGTTACTATCGCGCGGGCTTTCGTATCATGCCGGATCCATCCAACAACATGCGGACGCTCCCTGGAATCCTCCGGCACCTCCCGTTCACAGCGCAGATGCAGCTTTGGATGTTCCTAGCCTGATACGTGTCTGACTTGCTCCAAAAATCTCCCGTTGGACCATGAACAAGGTAACACGCTCTCCGCCACATGTAGGTCCGATGCATCGTGCCATATATTTGCTTCGACGCCGTGCGTGTTTTCGGACATTGCGGGCATGCCGAACATATTATTAGACTTAGCCAGAAGGTCTCTTCGCTCCTACCGCACATAATATTGGTACTCCTCTTCCGCCCCAAGATTGGCACACCACCCTTGCAATGGTATGATACTCATCGCCTCATTGATTGCAGGTGCACCGCAGATTTCTCCACCGATGGCTCGCTGTTGCTGTCACCGCTATTTTCACCAAGGGGCCGCGACTGAGCCACTCAAGAACCGCCATTACCAACGACGCTGTCATCACTCTTCTGTATTAGAGCGCTCCTGTCCGGTGCCGGATTTGATTAACTCAGAAACCGACATACCGATTTGGTCCATCTGGCTTGACAGTACACCAATTTCGCTATTGAGCGATTGTGCCTCTGATGCTTGCGACCACCCATGGGACTCCGAAGTTCTGTCAATGATGTAATCGGCTCTCTGCTGGCAGTGATGAGCTGTGGTTTGAAGCGTGTGTTTGCAACCCACAACCAGGCTCAATATCCAAAGCGCGCTGTTGGAAATCTCACCAGCCCTTTAGGGCACGAGTGGTTTGGAGCGTGTCCTCTTCCAACTCCCTTCTTCTCCTTCGGGGAGGGGTTTCCCCCTCCTCCTGCCCCCCTCCCCCTGGACCTGGGGGGAGGGGTCGCGGGTAGTTAGAGCGCCCAGAAATGCCTCGGCGAGAAGGCCAGCATCACTGATGTAAATAAGGTGTTGGCAGCATTTTTACCTCCTGGTGTGGGGGGGCGGGCAAATTGGACCCCCCCTTTCTTTGATCGATTACCTCCAAGATGGTCCCACGATAGCGCCCGAGGCTCCCAAGGGTGCCCCAACAAGGCCACAAGAGGTGCCCAGGAGGCCCAAGAGGCCCCGAAGATGCCCCCAAGAGACTCCCAACGACCCACAAGAGGTCTGAAGAAACCCCTCAAGAAACACCAAAGACGCCGCAAGAGGCCCCCCCGGACTGCCAAGAGACCCCAAAGACGCCCCCAAGAGGACTCCAATGATCTTCCGAAAGACATCCGGCGAGACTCCGAGAGACATCCAGGCCACCTCTGGCCTTCCTGCTCTCCTTCCTCCTGGTCCTCATCCTCATCCGCCCATTCCCTTCTCCTCCTCCAAGGGCTCCTAACTTCGCGCTGCGCGAAGCGCGAACAACTTCGCGCTCTCGCGCCGCCCCCAAAGGGGAGAAGAGGAGGACGAGGAGGAGGGGGAGGAGGAATGAGGCCCGCGAAGCGCGAAGCGCGACTAACTTCGCGCCCTCGTGGGAGCCCTTGCCTCCTCCCTCCTCCCTCTCCCGCAGCCGCCGTCCAAGTTTGAGGTTTTCTGCGAACCTCGGCGGGACAGCTGCCAGACGCGGCAGCCCCGCCGATTTCGGCGCGTTGGGCCAGCCGTGCCCCGCCATGGCTGCATGCTGATGTGCTGCCCCACGTTGTGCCGCCCATCGCGTGTGGCCTCCGCTGCTGGCAGACGCCACCTCAGGGCGCGCATGGTAGCCGTCCAGCATGCGCAAGTGCAGGCGCTGGCAGTGCGCAACCTGATGGGGTGTGGCACCCCGCCCGGGCTCGACATGACACCTGCGGACATCCTGCTGCGGGAGCTCGTGGAGCACGTTGAAGCGCCGGTCTACTTGAGCAGGGACCGACCGTCCCTGCATTTCTGTAGGCCTACCACGGCATGTCCTTAGAACCTCCAACTGTTCTAATAATAAAAAACACTTAGAACAGAAGCCCGATGTGTTGAAACAAGGCAACAACAGCCAGAAATCTTCCGAGAACATTTCGTGCAGACCAGAAAAGGTTCTCAGAACATTCTTTGGTAGGCCAATAGGTGAGCTAGGACGCTTCGCCACTGCTTGATCTACAAGCGATGGCACATGTGCGAGGCGGCCCAGGCCCCGGCTGGCAAGGTCCTTCCTGCGGACGCTCCTCGGGTACACGCTGGTGCTCCCCCGCCCCCGGCTCCCCGTCGGCCACCGCCGCCTTGGCTGCAGCCAGCCTGTGCGCTGCCGCCGCCACCCGCACAGGATGCACAAGACGATGCAGTCGCCGCTGAGGCGTGCTGCTGCAGCGGTCCTGGACGAGGCTCATGTTCTGCCCCGTGCCGGCCCTCCTGTGACTGCTGAGCCCCCGCTGGCCTTTGAGGCCCAATGCAAGGCGACAGCACGCCGTGCTGCGTGGCACAGGCGTCGCTGGCCCGCTGCGCGCCAGGCCGAGGGCCGACCGCCTGGCCGAGGCCACGTGCCAGGCAGCGAACGAGCGGGAGGCGGCCGAGCGCGCTGGCAGAGGCTGCAAGCCAAGCAGCAGCCCAGCAACAAGCCGGCTCGGCTGAGCCGAGCGCGAGGCGGAGCTGGCCGTTGGAGAGGAGGGCGCTGGGAGCTGGGACACCCAGCCGGTTTCATGGCGGATGGCTTCATGCACCGCAACCGTCATGCGGCTGCCTGCGGCTACCACATCTTCGGCTTCAACGCCCAGGACCAGTGGTTCGAGTGCTGGCTGTGCGCGCAACGCTGCACCGACAGGCTGGCGGCCCTCTGGAAGGTCCGATGCCAGGGCTGGCCTGCCCGGCCCCCGGCATCGGTTCCGCATGGTGGCCCCGCGCCACGCGAGCGTCTGCGGCGCACTGCCGCCGCTGCCCCTCCCCCTTCCCTCCCCCCTCCCTCCCCTCCCTCCCCCTCCCCATTCGACTGGTTTGACATGAGTGACAACGACCAAGCTGGTGTCACGCGGGCCCACGTTTGCCAGGCACCACCCTCACCAAGGTTGGTGTTGTTGCTGCTGCTGTTGTTGTTGTTGCTGCTGCTGCTGTTGTTGTTGTTGTTGTTGTTGGTGTTATTGTTATTGTTGGTGTTACTATTATTATTATTATTATGATGATTCTGATTATTATTATTATTAGTATTATTATTATTATTATTATTATTATTATTATTATTATTATTATTAATTTTCGTATTATTATTATTATTACTATTATTATTATTAGTATTATTATTTTTAATATCAGTATTGTTGCTGTTGTTGTTGTGTTGTTGTTGAATGTTCATTACTAAACAATTATTATTGTTGGGCACCCCCAGGCGCTTTGGCGCTCTCGCCTCGGCGCCGGCTACATTTTCATTGAAAAAGAGGATCATGCTCGAGCGGTTTGCAACAACAACGCTCCCGCTCGAAACTTCCTCCTTTTTTCTCAGGGCCGGTGCTCCTGCTCGCTGCTGAAAGCCGCCGTCCCAACAAAATCAGCGCTGCCGCTCGAGACTTCCCCCCGTTTTACCTTGGACTGGCGCGCTACTCTTTCTCTCACCGGCGCCGCCCCCAGCAACAACAACGCTCCCGCTCGAGACTCCCTCCCTTTTTAACTCAAGGCGGTGCTCCTCCTCGCCGCCGAAAGTCACCGCCCCGACAAAACCAGCGCTCCCGCCCGAGACGTCCTCCCGTTTTATGCTGGACTGGCGCCCTACTCTCACTTGAATTGGCGCCGCTCACAGCAAGAGCAGCGCTCCCGCTCGAGGCTTCCTCCTTTTTTCCTCAAGACGGTGCTGTTTCTCGCCGCCGACAGCCCCCGTCCCGACAAAACCACGGCTCCCGCACGAGATTTCCTCCCTAAGGCGGTGTTCCTCCTCGCCGCCGACAACCGCCGTCCCAACAAAGCAACGTACCTGCTCGAGACTTCGTTTCGTTCTACGCTGGACTCGACTAGCGCCCTACTCTCTTTAGCATTGGCGCCGCTCCCAGCAACAACAGCGGCCTTGCTCGAGACTTCCTCCCTATTCGGGACCAGCTCGTTGCCTCGCCGCCGACAGCCCTCATCCCCACTAAGGCAATCCTGTCGCTCGATACTTCCTTGTGCTTTACCCTTGGCTGGGGCTCCACTGGCGGTCTCGCATCGGCCCACCAAGGCGCGGCCACGCGTTTTCGTGGCGGGATATGTTGAAATTCCTCGGAAGAGGTGTTCGCAAGATCTCATTTGGCGGGAGATCTGGGAATGGGAATAACGGACCCCGCCAGAGAACAATAGTCCCCCATGATGGGGATGGTTGTCATGATGGTCACATGCTTCGTGTGGAGACGTCGCGCATGTGGGTAAAATGATTGTTTTTGTTGTTGTTCATGGCGGATGGCAGCACTGAGAACTTCGCTAGCGGGAGGCATACGCACCCCTCGCACGGCCGCGGTTCCATGCTAGCGACCATGGCTATATCAATCCCGAGACCATCTCTGCGCTGCCGGGCTACATGTCCCGCGCACCCTGGACCCCCGCGGCATGCTGGACGCGAAGTCTGGTTCACGGTGCGTTTCGCGAGCTGTCCCAGAAACAGTCCGTGGACATCCACGTCGCGGCCGGCGACTCCAGTTTACACTGTACTGATGCCCAGCTACGCCGACGCGAAGATGCAGCTGGGCGCTGGGACAATCAGTGTCCGCCTTGCTATGGTGGCGATCGCTGACGTGTTCTTCCCGCACGGTCTGCCCAGCTCTCTGAGGCGCCTTCTGACGTCACTGGCTCCGTGATTGAGTCGGATTGTACTGTTGCTCCCTCTGATTTCGCCCATCCAGTCATCTTCAGAACAAGGTATGAGGTGGGATCATCGGGCCTATAGCGTCTTGTGGACGAGGATTTGCTTCCGAGTGCTTAGGGCCCAGGTTTGCGTCCCAACCTTACCCTGCCCTCCTCGTCTGCAACACTCCTCCCTCCCTCCTCACTCCTCTCTGCTTGTGCTCTGCCAATGTGAGTCCGGAGAGGACAAGACATGGCATGACACCAGCTTGCCGTGAATGTCGCGATGTGCCGGTGCATCCTTGTCACTATCGTTGTCTTGATTTGTTCCGCCCCTTTGCTCCTGCTTCCCGGGCTCCCCCCCGGCTCCCGTGGGTCAGGTCTCGGGAGGCTCGCGTGGGCCTCTCGTGCTCCTCCAGCCGCCGAGCCCGGACGGGACGGCTGTCGCGAGAGCAGGAGGTTTTCGGTCTGCGTCCCAGCCTTCTCCCTCCCTCTCATTGCCTGCATGATCCTCCCTCCCTCCCTCCCCTCCTCCCCTTGCCGGGAGGCCGAGTGCCCAAGCCACGGTGGACGACTTGAGCGGATGCCGGCCAAGCTGCTTGATGCGGAGGTGGGGGCAGGATGGAGGACCTCGGGTCGTCGGCCGTTGCAGTGCTTCTGTTGCTGCGCCACGTCGGCCATCCCGCGCCCGTCCTCGGACTGGCGTGAAGATAATCGCGCGGTTTCCCGCCGCCGTCTTGTCGCTCGCTCTGGAGGGCGATGCACGAAGATGTTCCCTTCCCTCTCAGGATAGACGAACTGTTGTAGCACGCTCCTTGTGCAGCACTGCCTTTTAGGTGAGCAGACGGGCCGGAGTGGCCAGGCAGACTTCTCGCGACTCTCCCTCCCCCGGGATGCTCTCCTGCCGAGCTGGAAGTCTTGGATCTGCGTCCTAGTCTCACTCTCTCCTCTCGGTTCTAGTTCCTCCCTCCATCCTCCTCCTCCCTGGCCATTTCTGCCAGCGCATAGACTACTGGCGACTTGCTGTGCCGTCACACGAGTCCTTGTGGAATGGTAGTGGACTGCTTGTGCGCGCTGTTGTTTCTCTCTAGATGCCACGGTACCGCCTGCAGTTAGTTGAGCGCCGCACTCTTCTGGCAAGCTTAGAGCTTCATCAGAGTCGCAATCCAAAAATCCCCTCCCGCTCTCCCTCCTCCTCCTCCTCCTCCTCCTCCTTTTCCTCCATTCTCACCCTCTTCGGGTACAACGTCTTACCAAGCCCTCTATTCCACTTCATGCTCCTCCGCATCCCTGATCAAAGAAACTCGTCGGGGCATCGTTCCTGGATGGGCTGGTGGGTTACGCGATGCGTCTAGAGTTTAGATGCAGTTGTCCAATGTGTTTATTCGAGTATTTTCTCTTCTCTCCAAGCGATGTCACAAAAGGACGTGCTGACCCTTGCTGGCCAATATGCCAAGCAGCAATTGATTCCATGTCTGCGGGGCACGCTGTAGGCCATGCTCTGTCTATCTTGGCGACGTGGCGTGTCGGCCTGGGCCTCTTCGCGACCATAATCCCGTGGCAGCCTCCAACGAGCTGCTCACCGCCGAGGAATCATTGCAACAGAGGCCACTCTGCAATTTCACGAGGGGCCCGCTAGCTATGCCATGCTCTCTCTTGCGCCTTGAGTCAAAGGGGCACATGCCGGCATGAGAGAGGAGGAGGAAAGAAGGGGGAGGAGGACGGAGGAAGGGGCGGAGGGGAAAGGCGAGAGGGAGGGGGAAGCGGAAAACGGGGGAGGAGGGCGAAGAGCAGAGGGAAGACGAGGAGGGGGGGGGACGAGGGCTGGGAGCAGGAAGACGGAGGAAACATGTGGCAAGGAGGAGAGAGAGGAGGGAGGACAGTCGGTCGTGCGGCCGCTTCTCCTCCTCCTTCTCCTCCCAAATCACTCTGATCATGTTCGTGCTCATCATCACCATCATCATCATCGTCATCATCATCATCATCATCATCATCATCTTCATCATCATCAGCATCATCATCACCCTCACCATCTTCACCATCATCATCATAAGCATCATCAACTGCAACATCATCACCACCACCACCATCACCATTACCATCAGCATCATCATCATCATCAGCATTATCATCAT